AGAAAAAAATCTCAACAAAAATACTTACTGGTTTTTTGGAGTCCTCCACCTCCCGAATACTCAGGTTCTCTAGAGGGATAATTCCACGGGGCTCTTTATCCTGTGGAGCAGTGCAGACAGAAAGATCACTCAGGGACACACTCGCTGTGGTGTCCTTCCCTCTCTGCTGCCCCCATGCATGATAGTGGTCATCAGCTTCCGGCCCACTCCCAGGATCTACAGTGAGGACACAGCCAAGAGGCTCCTGGGTGTCATATACTACACAGGACCCAGTAGTCAGAAGCCTAGATGTTCAACAGGTGTCACAATGCATCTGGCGTGTGCCTCCCACTGGGAGTGTGTAAGCTCCTTTCCTCTGCAAAGGTTGCTCCCTTCCCCTTGCTTCTCACCTGGCTCCCCCGCTCTCCGCCCTGGTTCTAGGGCCAGCAACTCATGGAAACCTTTCCCAGCCTCTATGTAGTCTGACTGCAGCTGTGTCACACACCTTTACTCCTCACTGCCTTCACCTGCCTTGGTGGCCAGACTGGGAGACCCTCAAAGAGACAGTACCTTCCTGACAGTCCCACCTGGATCTAAGCTCAATGCAGAATAGAGCTGCACATCAGCCTTACGCCTACCTGATCTTTTCAGCAAGGTCCATCTTGGCCAAAGCCCTGCCAGGGACACACCCTCACCTCTAAAGCCATACCAAAGCTACCATTTTGCAAAATTTTGTATTTTATCAGAGTAACACATGAACAAAATCAACCAGTTCTACACGTTTTGTAAAAGCAAAAAATAGTGTTTTAAGCCATTCCCACCCCCCATGGCAACTATTTTATATCTTTAATTTTCCTTTGAATCGTAGGACACTGTGACTGCTGCTCTGTGCGTGTCTGATTTTAGATGCATCTGTAGAAGGGAATCGTCTTCTCCTCTTGTCCTATCTTCCCAGAACCATTCCGCTAGAGCCACACAGGTTTCCCCCAGAGCCTCGGTGCTCTTCAGCACGTGCTGCGTAACAGCCTCTTAGCTTTTCTTTTCTGAAAAACTTTCCCCCGGCACCAGAAATCACCTTGAGGAGGGCTATCTTTTTTCGTATAATGTTCCCCCTCTTGTCAAATATCCTTTCCTATGCTAATTCTTATCAAGCATAATACTCATTTCAACTCCTGGGTAAAATCCCTCTGGTTGCTCTGGAAGGGCACTCTGCTGAAGGCCGCATCCTGAAGCTTGAGACTTCCCTCCTCATGCCTCACAACTCTACTTCTTACAGCCAAAGCTCTGCCCGTCCTACTGAGCACCCCGGCCTTGGCAAGCACACTGCCACCAGCATCCTCAGAGAGGGTGGGAAGTGCTCTCAGGAGACTGACAGTCTGGCAAGGTGACTGCCCAGGTGGAGATAATGCCCTCCACAATTGGAAAGCGTGGTGGCCCTGCTGTTCTTTACATTTTTCTGGCTGCTGCTTTTCTCTAGGTCTTCTGTGCTCGGACACTCCATCAGGGCATGGACTTAGTGGGGACCTATTTCTGGCCACTATGCAAGCATCTGGTAAGCTTTTCAACCTGAAAACACATCTTTTACCTGGGGAAAGTTACAAAATTTTGGCAAGGATCACCTTCTTACTGCTTTCTTACTTTCTCTAAAACATGTGGTGTCTCCTAAACCAGTTCTTTGATTTTTTTTTTTTTTAATAAACACAACTTTTCCTTTATTATTTCCCATCTTTTTGTCTTTTAACTCTGAGAGATTCTTTTGGATGTTTTTCTTCTGGTGAGCTTTCATGTCTAGCACCCTTTTGACTTCCAAGAGCTTATTTGGACTGTCTTGCTGCGGGGTTTGCTGTGGGACCTGTTCTCAGTTCCCAGCTACAGGGTTGCATCAGAAGCTGGTAGGAGAGGTCCTCACTGTGTTGTGGAGGCTTCCTTCCCCTAAAGTTCCCTTCTCTAGTTGTGCTTTCACTGGCTGGGGGCTTGCAGGCCCGAGGCCTCCTTCAGGTATCTGGGATTCACCACTTGGAGAGAGTGGTATCACGAGCTGGTGGGCTTCTGAGCATGTGGACTGTGAGCTCACTACAGGGCTCCTCTCACAAGGCTGTCCATGGGGAAAGTCTGCTCCAGGGCTTTGCTCTTTCTTTTACTGCTGAGTCACCACTCCACCCAAAGTCTGCCCAATTACAGGCCTGCCTGGCTGCATCTGAAAAGTGAGGGCAGAATAGGTGGGGGTGCTGGAGTTTACCTAACCCTCCTACTCCCCCACCCATAATTGGCTAAAGTACCTCAGTCCTGGGGACACCTGGTGTTATCCTCTCCTGAGAATGGGCACCACTCTTCCTGGCTGTGCGGGGAATGTGCTTAGGGCATGAAATGCAGGACCTACATGATCTACCTCCTCAACAGAGTTCAGGCAGCTTCCCTGACTCCAGCTTCCTCTCCAGGGCTACCTGGCACCTGTCCTCGTGAGGATTCTGCTGTGTCAGCTGGGTACAGGTACTGCCAGGCGAGCTGGGGGTAGGCCAAGAGTTATAATGTGGACCTCATGAGGATGTGACTGCATTCACACTCTTAAGGCTGTTGAAGCTGAGACATCAGGGTTACGTCTGCATGACTGTCTTGGTTACTTTTCTCTTGGTTACTTGTCTCTTGCTGAGACAAAATACCTGACACTCAGAATTAAGGAAGGAAAGGTTTATTTAGCTCACAGTCTGTGGAGGTTTCAGTCCATACTCAGCTGCTCCAAGGCAGAGTGGCACATGGCAGAAGAAGACAGCAAAAGCAATAAGAGCAAAAAGGGAGGAGTGGCAGCAAGCAGCCTCTTTCCCTTACATATGCAAACTATCTGCCCCAGGGCGGGTGTAGCACTCACACCCATGAATCAATCATAAACTCTAGAAGCCTGCCCCATGACTGCATGAGGCTTTGGAGGGCATCCAGAACTAAACCGTAACAATGACACATATTCTGGACCTAAGATGATTTTAAACCCAAAGGATTTACTCCCATGGCCTTCTGTCCAGAAGCAGGGATTGCGTGGGTAGCCTGCTGTTGTGACCTTTCCCGCCCCACGAGACCTGGCACACTGTGCCCCTCACGGTCCTCCCCACTCTCCTCACACTTGTCCTGCCATTTGAGAATGGCTGGAGATGGAGCAGGCTCCTCAGGAGCACAGCCATCCTGCAGGGACTGAGCAGGCAAACAGAGCTACTGACCCAAACAACTTTTAAATTCCTGGCAACCACCAAAGCCCCCAATATCAAACCAGTTCCCCTGACTTGGATCCCCATCGTGGAATTTTTAACGGGACCCCAGGGACTGGGGTCAGCTCAGTGATTAGGTATGCTTAGTGTGCACAAGAACCTGGGTTTCACTGCCAGCACCACCATAAAATAACGTTAACTGGACTGCCAGGGTCTAGGAAGCTTCACTGCCCTGCTCATAGAGTTCATTCACACTCAGTAATCACCCATCTCCCCGACAAAGGTAGAATTAATCAATGCCAATGAGTTGGCTTACTTGACTTGCCTTAGAAGCAATTACTATTTTGTAAAAATAATATTTGTTTTAAAGAACTTAAAATGCTACAGAAAACAACAAAGGTGGAAGTGTTTTAAAACACTCCAAATCCAATCACTAATGAATTATCACTGCAGACAGGAGGTAATTGTATGTGTATACAGAGAGCAAGAGGCATAGGTTTTAGAAAAATGGGCTACTCTACAAGGTATTGTCATGATAGACATTCTACTTCAATTATACAGAACTTAAGAAAAAAATGAAACAAACTGAAAAATACTGAACATCAAAATAAATTTTCTTTACTGTAAGAAGTATTTTCTAAAATAACCATGTTCAAATTTTTAAAAAAACAACTTATGAGATACCTTAAGAGGTTTTAATTTTAACAGTTCTTTTGTTTGTCTTTTGGAGATAAGGTCTCACTATGTAGTCCAGGCTAGCCTCAAACTCTTGGCCATCTTCCTGCCTCAGTCTACTAAATGACAGGCATGTGCCACCATACCCAATTTAACACTTGACTCTTCATTTTGAAAGTTAAGTAATATTCTCAAAATTCTTCACATCTTTCTTTCTGCTCCTGACTCTTATTGCATATTTCCTTTTTCTGCTGCCCAGATGTGTGGCACACAAATCCTGCCCTGCAGCCGGTTCCCAGTTATTCAGCTACAGATCTATACTGAGACAAACCCATTCCACATCTCAGTATAGTTCTGTATTAGTTCTATATTTCAGTGCACTTTAGCATCGGTTTGATATTTAATAATTTTTTTTACATTTAAGTATATTTAAGTGTCAGTTCTTTAAGCATATGTATTAGTTCTACATTTAAACATAGTAAAGTTCTATTTTCAGTATGTTTTAGCACCAGTCCTGTATCTCAATATATTTTGGCACTACTTCTGCATGTCAGTATATTTTAGTACTGGCTCTATATTTAAGTGTATTTAAAAATTAGTTCAGGGAGTGGGTAGGTGAGTTGGGCAGAGGCTGTAGGGGCAGCTGCAAAAGCAGGCAGGCAGGCAGGTAGGCCAAGAAGGTGGCCAAACTCTCTAGCAGGTGTGCGTGGCTTGAGTTCTCCATGCCATGCCTGGGAGACCTCCCAAGTCAAGGTGGGGGACAGAGCAGATGCCAAATCAAAGGGATATCAGCACCATGTCCCACATGGTCACAGGCGGTAGCAGTGGGGACCATTCTCACCAGGTCCAAGTGCAAGTCTACTACTGTGGAGTCAAAACTGGAAATAACACAAACTGCCATCAGCAGATGGGCATAGGAACAGTCTATGGCTAATCCACACAGTGGCACATGATGGTGAGCCACTGACAAAGCACACATGAAGGACAACAGGGCTATACTGATGGAATAAGCCCTGTAAGAAACAAAAACTACATGCTGAGTGGTTACAGTTTTCTCGGATCTAGAAATTCATTAGATAAGAATGAACAATTAATCATTTGTATGCATCTAAACAACTTGCTAAGGATCTACCACTATCACCCCAGAAGTTACACTTTTAAAACCAACAATTCTATCTCTTATGGAAAATTATTGTGGAAGTTTCCGGAATGTCTCAATACTCCATATTTAAAGGAAAATGATGATATC